TGAAAGCGTGCTAATAATTCATACTTTAAAACGGGGCGACATTGCTCAGAAGAAATACGAGCATTGAAACCAGCTGGCCTCAGATTGGCCCTCTGGAGAGATTTAACCTCCCGAAGGATCGGGTCGTTGGGACAAGCAGCTGGGAAGAGTTGAAAGTTCATTGCAAGTTCCCACTGTGGGGGAACCCAGCATTGTAATCACTGCAAGCACAGCAGCGGGGGAGCGAGCGAATGTCCCAGACAGAGACAGCCCCATGTTGGATCAAGGGCAAGCTTTCGACCCCTTAATTAGGCTGGACTTGCTGGGGTAGGCCTTCTGCCATTCATCATCCATGAGCGTCCATCCCAATGACCTGTGAACTTTCACTGTTTGCTTTCTTATAAATCCTGTAACAAGATATAGATCCATCACTGGGTCTTGTCAGGGGCAGTGACCATAAAAATGTTCTATGGACCAATATGTGGCCCACATCTAAAAACACACAGGTCAGGTACTTTGGTGTCCTCTTTAGCAATGCCTATGGCTACCTTTTCCATACTGTTTATAGGATTTCCAGAACGTTCCGGTTTGCATTTGTCTTTAGAAATGTATAAGTGTAGAATTCTGCACACATTTATTTTGGAGTTAGGTTTAGAAAGTGGGATTTTGAATGAAAAACATGGTGCACACCTGCCCCTCAATCCCTATTATTGGCTCTAAAGCGCTCCAAGATGGCCTATGGCGTGAAGGGTGCTATATAATTACAAGTTGTTGTTGTTGTAGTTGCATTTGCTGCAGGAAAACCTATTGCTGTTTCCTCTTCCCCTTCCTCCCACCCCACCAACTCGAACGCAAGTGCATCTCACCCCTTCTCTACGCGTTTTCATTGCCCCTTTCACCCAAGATCACAAGAGATTTAGATGAAGAAGATCCTATCACCTCATTATAACATCAAGCTGTTTCCTCAATGAGTCTAGTGTCCTTGTCTCAACCACATTGGTACTAAACTGTCCAAACTGTTGGTTAATCATATGTTTCCTTACAGATTTCTCACTATTCCATTTGCTTCCTTACACGGCAATTGTTCCAGAGCACTTTAATTGTACTTTTAATGAACAGGATGCAATGTGACGGGAACAAGAGTAGCGATAATCCTTCGAGCCTGACCAGAAATTTACAATCTGAGTTAACGAGGGACAAACAGTGATTACTTTGGTTTGTGTTTCTCAAGCTCTGTAATTACTTTGTGTGAAGATTAGGTGTCCCGTTTGGCTTCAGAGCATTATTTTTCAATCTACGCTGGAAAGTGCGCACGTTTCTTATGTGTTTATATTATAAAAAATCACTTGAAATTCATCCTGACCTGAGGCCTTGGCTGCTCAAATGATCGAAAAGATCACTGTCTCTCTGGGGATAATCTGGGAAGAGCATTTTCATCAAAGGTGGATTGGGTTTCCCCCTGTGAGGGATTATGATCAGAGGAATATAGGCACTGACTGCAATTTCTTAACTTCCTCATTTATTTCAAAGGGATCTGTCTGTCTGTGGCAGCACATCCCGGTCTCTCTGAGAGTGGGAACACTGTCCCATCACAATGTGATGTTCCCCCTTGTGTATCTTTGCCTCGTGCAAGCACTTGCCGTGGAACTGCCCATCGCAGTGTGAGGCAAACAAACGGTGAGGGAGGTGCAGAATCCGAGGTTAGGATATTTCTAACACTTTTCTAATTTTGTAGAGGACCACCAATGGTTCAAACCCGTCACTGATATCCACAAAATATACAGTCAATTCACTTTACAGCATATTCTGTGAAGCGCTTTGAGACGTCTCGAAGACGTGATGAGGCGCTATATCAAATGCAAGGATTATTTATTATTATGAACCAGTTTCAGGAATCTCAATCCTCTTCCTACCCTCTCCTTGTGAAGAGGCCTGTTTTCTGGTCTCTTTTGTTGTCTCGGATCCTGCAACCCTTTTAAGGTGCTTTTTTTCTTAGACTTTGCTCCTTCTACTCTCCATTTAATAACATTGATCCCTCAATTCACAGCTGTTTGTGGGATGTTGCTGTGCGTACATTGACTGGCACATTGGCCTACAAATATATATATGTGTGTGTCAATGACAATTTGCAATAACTTCTGTGAAGCGCTTTGAGGCATCCTCTTGATATGAAAGACCGCTGTTTCGAAAGCAAGGATTAATATTTGTTCCACGTACAGCTCTCAGACTACTGTATAAATAGTGGAGCTCAGCCGAAATTGGTTGACTCCAAATGTGAATTCAGATTTTGTAATGATGCGATTGATTTTTTTTTAATAGGCGACATCAGTAGTTTTCACACCTGTCACTGCAGTTCCATGGATGGTTCGGAACAGATCTGAGCTGGCCCCAGTTCAGATCCCTTTTGGATTCAGACACTGTCCTTCACCTCACGTCTGATAAAATAGAATCATATGTGTAGGCTTTTCAATGCCCTTCCGTGAAAAAGGGATTTATATTTCCACAGGGGAGGCTGGCTGGATGACTCATGAGCAATCAAGCTGCAAATGAGATACAGTCAGCCTCGCTAACAGAAATAATAATAAAAGAAATCAATGCCAGTTGAATGCATCGAGGCTTTTGTCGGTCAGCCTCTCTCGTGCTTTTTGAGCATCGACTATATATCGATGGCTGAAATAGAATAGTGGGAAGAAAGCATTATGTGAGCTGTTGTGATAACAAGGAAGGGTAGAAATTCCATTCCGTGCTGCACCGCTGCCGAAGACTAGTATGGGAAATCCTGCTAACGGCCGACGGCCTCTGACAATACAGCAATCCTCCAGCATGGAATTAATGTTAGCCTTAGAAAAATCCCAAACATGGGGCTTGAAACCACAACCTTCTGATTCAGAGGCAAGAGTGCTACCAACTAAGCCAGGCTGCCACATGTGATGTATGTGGAGAGTTTACCAAAGTCCTGATTTGAATCAGTTATTTCTAAATTGAATTCTGGCATAAGCTGAGAGATCAAAGCTGATGAGCATGATATATGATGAATGATTTGAGCAAAACAGCCTCTGTAACCACAGAAGAACATGTTGACCTATCAGTTACCCCAGGAGCATCTAGTACAGAACATGGAAAATAGACCAAAGCATAACTGGCAATGACAGTTGTTTCGTCATCTCTGCTGAGTACGTTTGTATAGTTCAGCTGTGATGATCCCCAAATAAGCAGGAATGAGGTTTGAGAGATTGAGCAGAGCAAATTATGATAATAATCCTTGCATTTTATATATGGCCTTATCACGTCTTCGAGTGAATTGACTGTATATTTTGTGGGCAGCCAATTGCACACAGCAGTGTCACACAAACAGTTGTGGATTGAGTGACCAAATAATTATTTTTTACTTTTTTTATTTTTTGAAGGGATTATTACCCCCGGAAAAGCGATCCGCCAATCGACTAATAACCGGGTTCCCACTTACTACTAGGTAAACAGAGGCGAGTGGAGTAAGGAAACCTGCCCAATGTTTCGCCCTTCCTGGGAATCGATCCCAGGTCCTCTCACTTGCGAGGCGAGTGCTCTAACCCCTGAGCTACAGGACTCCGTAAGATCAAAGACTCTGAGTCTTCAGCGCAACATGTGAACTTTTCTATTTGCAATGGGTAATATACGACTCAGCGCACAGGATAAAATGGAAGCAGCGTTGATTCAATTGCACAAATGACCAGCGGAGGTCTAGAGCGCTTCCTGGAGTGGGAAATGAGGCACAAGATGCAGATCCACGTGAAGCATACTTACTTTATTGTCCACCCACCTTATCCATGAGTGCTCGCGTGGCTAATGAAGGTTAACCGATTGCAGATACACGCATAGACATGACCAGGAAAATGGGGAGACCTGGCAAAGTCTTAAAGAGTGGGTAAAATCCGGGGCATTGTCGGACTGCTGTAAACTCATCCAAAAGAATAATCGCTGCATTTGACGTAGCACCTCATCACCTTATCAAAATGGTTGAGAGCGCTTCACAGTACTGCACGTACTGTGTGTTTGTAGGTGATCGTGGCAACCATTTTGCACACAGCAACAGATGACTAAAGGGTCTGACTCCACCAGGACAGCCCCCATGATGGTTCCCTTGGAGTGTAGCCTCCAGATTTCCTGGAGCCATCTATAATAACTCTAATTGGCTTCTTTGCCCCCTCGTGGACTAATGTACTACACCGTTGTCTGAGTGCCCTGCCTTATAGCCACGCTTACACTCACACTTCATCCCCTTGCATTCCAGCGTAGGCGACTGGGATAAACAATAACAATCTCAAAACATTTTTTTCAGACAATTACCACTTGTATCTTTCCAAACTTCACATTGTTGCTGTCGGGAATATACTTTCAGTGGCGTCTGTTGTCATTTCCGTTCCTGTTCCCTCCCCCTCACACATTCCGGACTTTGCATTGAGTGGGTGTGCATCGGTGTGGTTTGTGCACGCAGGTGGATTACAGTAACCAGTTGTTAGAAGCTACGCGAGGCTGCCTAGTGGCAATTGTCCCTCTGCTGAAACCCTTCTAACCTGCCCGCTCCCTTCACTCAGTAGACACCGGCCTACTTCGTGTGCCCCCTGCCCTATCATCAATGCGCAAACTCCCAGCCATTGTACCTCTGCTCACTGGAACTCCATCCCAGAGTCCCTACGACTTGCCTCTCTGAATTGTCCCCTCTCCCCCTACTTTCAAAAACTGCCTCGAGACTCACCTCTTTGACTATGCTTTCGGCCGTTGCCGCCTTCTCTCTGAATGGTCATTTCTGTGCAATAACTATCAAACGTTCTCTTTGGTAATCTATCCATAGCACAATTCCCCATCCCATTTACCTCTTCCCACCACCCCCCCCACCCAAAAATGGTGACACATCATGGTGCAGCTTTGGTGTGTGGTGATGAACAACAACATCAACAACGAATTGCATTTATCTAGTGCCAACAGCTTCCAAGTTGGGTTAACTTTTAAAGGTTGAACTGGTCTCCTTCTGTTTGACTCAGAGATCCAGAACCATGACGAGTGCGTCCAGCAAATTAAGAGGATCGTGGAGTCTCCCAGTATGCCACAGCAACATTGCCTTATCCTCCAGTGTCTCGTCAGGCACTTCTGCAAGGTCTGTCAGACTGGAAGCAACACCCAGCTCACACCCAGGCTCCTGGGAGAAATCTTCAGCGACATCTTGTTCAGGCCTTCACTATTGAGGTAAGTGAACTGGCTTCGGAGACGAGCAGTGGTCCGAGAGAATGGTTGACCCTGGGCAATAGGATCTCGGTCCCACGCTCTCGGAGAAGCTCTCTCCACTTTATGGAGCAAGGGCGGGTAATTGGAGTTGAGGTACAGATCAGCCATGATTTTATAGAATGGCGGAACAGGCTCGAGGGCCTGAATGGCCTCCTCCTGTTCCTGTGTTTCTATTCCACCGCTCAGCTATCCAACCGAAAAGGAAAGTTAAAGGGAGCAGCCCTAGAAGGTTTGGGTTTTGTTCAAATCATTCTCCCAAGTTCTAAAGCTTCCCTGGCTGAGGAGAAGAGTTGCCCAGGTCTGGTCAGTGGTTCCAGAGAATGTACCAAGTACGCAGGCTTCGCACGAGTCTGAAGATAATCTAAAGCCTAACCTGAGTGTAAGAGAATCATCGAATCTGAGAATATTTCAACGCAGATCAATGTCGTTTGAATCACACACTCTCTAATCCTGTGAGCCTGCGCTCCCCCCCTCCCCCCAAGGCCAATCCGGCCTTTTTATGAATTAGATTCCGATGAACTCAATGACCAGTTCCTCTCCCACTATCTCCCTGCTACCTCCCTTCCCACCCAAACCCACCCACCCCCCCGGGTTAATTTGCTGGAATGTTTGTCCTGGCTGAAGTCACAGCACCCTCAATGTTCCTTTATAGGAATAAAAGTAAGGAATAGAAATAGCAGGACGGACAGAGATTTAAACAGCTGGCTCCCCTTCACACCCAACCGACATACACTGGGCTTTTGCAGTTGATGTAGATTCTGAGCTCCTCATACAAGCACGGGCTGTTGGTTTTACACTCGGTCAATAATTGGTTGCTATGAGCGAGCATCTGGTTACCTGATGCTCATTGTATGTTCCACCACCAGCCTTTGCTCGCTCCCAAGGTGAAATATTCAAATGAACCACTTGACATAGTTAAGACAAGAAAAAGCACAGCTGCTGGCAATGAAAGGCGCTTGCTTGGACATTGTACATTGTTCTTGTTGTTGCCTCAGGCAGCGGCCACTGTAACAATAATAATATTAATAATAATCCTTGCATTTGATATCACGCCTTATCACGCCTTCGAGACATCTCAAACCGCTTCACGGAATAAAGTGAATGGACTGTATGTTTTGTGGGCGAAACACAGCAGCCAATTGCGCACAGCAGTGTCCCCACAGACAGTTGTGGATTGAGTGACCGAAAACCACCTAACCTCCTCAGCTCCCCTATCCCCTCACCCCAGCATCGATTACCAGTTGAGCCATGTGAACCTCTCTGAGACATTCTTGTGACGCAATAGGCGCCATATAAGTATAAATTGCATTGGGTGTCCATCCTCTTATCTAAACAGCAGATGTCCATTTTTTTCTTGATGACAAAATGAAGACAGAAGAAACATAGAATCATGGAATATTACAGCACAGAAGGAGGCCATTCGGCCCATCGTGTCCGTGCCGGCTCTTGGGAAGGGCTACCCGATCAATCCCAGTCCCCTGCTCTTTCCCCCATATTCTTGAAACGAAACCCAGCTTGCTCCATGTTCTCTCTGGAGCTCTGGAGATGGAAATTAAGGTCAACGTGCCCTCGGGAATCGGCCAGCTTGCATACAGCAGTACAGTTCAGCTGAAATCACTAACAATCTGGTGTCAGTCTGCAGGACGTGCTTTACAACATCAGTCCACAAGCAAATGCCAATGTATGTTTTAGGAGGATGTTTTAATCCTTTCATCAACACACATGTTAACAGTGCCTTTTGGCTGGATTAGAGTAAAGCCTGTTCCCTCCCTCGCTCCCTCCGTCCAAAAAATAAATAGACATATATTCTGACTAAGTTGGAGTTGAGAGCAGCCACGACAAACATTTCAATGAATTACATTTCAATCATTCCTATGGTTCCTTTAACAGAGAAGAAACTTCTCAAAGAGCGTTACAGAATGAGTGAATGTTATCCTTTGCTCATAGGATTCTTAGATTCCTCAGATTCTTAGATTCCATCTGTCTTAGTGACTGAAGGTGACAGACACCGCTATTTAACAGATAGTGGGCAGATAGTGTCTCCCATTATCCTGGCTCATTTGTCCTTCCTGCTCATCTCCAAATTCACCCCCAAAGATTCAAGTTAATTTGCTCTCCTCTGGAACTCAAGCGCAACACCTATGGATTTGGCCCAACCAAATAACCTCTCCACCTTCAAGGCCATTCTCTCCTGTGCCTCGCAATATGCAGAATTGTGACATAGCCAAAGAGGAAAACAACTGGATCTATCTCTCTCCAAGCACCATTTTGTAAAATGTTCTACCTCCCAACCTACTTAGGTTATGATGGACTCTGGTCTTTTCAACTGAAGCAGTTTGGGCGTAAATGCGTTCTCAACTTAAATCAGGCTGAAGAGATTTGCCAGAGGGAAATATTTGGGGTGTATTATGGTGGAGCTCAGTAGGAGTTCAGCCTGGATGGGTGAAGGTTTGTTCTCTGTACGTGCCAGCTATAAGGATCCTAAGTGAAATGGTTTAGTAGGAAGCATTATCCATTTTTAATGGCCACAAGTTGACAGCATAAAACTGGCCACAGTTCAGTAGTAATGACACTAAATTGACAACTGGTCCCAAAGGGCCTGAGGTTGACTGCCGTGGGAAATGGAATGATTGGTTTTGTGTGCCCTGGTGGTGGAGGAGGTGATAGGATCAAGGATCACTGTTAAAGCCACATAGAGTGAGCTTTGTCCTGTGTCCGACCGTATCTGACATGGGAGTGCCATTTAGTGGAAGAAGAGTTCGATTCTCCAGCATTGACGTCTTACAAATCGATGACCTTGGACCTCAAAGTATCTCTAAAGCGTCTTGCAGTGTTAGCAAATCAGAAGGTGGGGAAGGCTTCCTGTAAGTCATACGTTGGAAAGTTCCACACTGTGCAGCAGTCACTCTAAATGTCAGTCAATGGGTGCTCTTCTGAGGTCACTCCTAAAGGCATGTTGTTTGCACTGCTAGAGGCAGATAGCAGATACTTTAGTCAGTATTGACCATGCTGTATCTGTATTGGGAAATGCCCTGTGCTGACATCACGCACCAGAAATAGGACAGCCTCTATTCCCATTGTCGTTCCAGTAAACCCAGTGAAGCGAATTATGTTTGAGATGCTCCCAACGAGAGAGCGTTTGAGTTGCTCCTTCAAGGGAGTTTAAGAGGAACATTGCTTCAAGGTCTAAAAAGGAGTTTAGGAGGAAGCTGTTCGTGCAGAGTTGGGGGTGAGAATGCGGAACTCGCTGCCAGAAGCTGTGGTTAAAACAAAAAGCATCAAAGTATCTAAGAGGAGACTCAATACATACATGTGAAAGAATGTAATAAAGGGAATAGGGGAGGGAAGTAGGAGGCTGGTGCGGAGTATAGACTAGTTTGGGAAAAGGCCTGTTTCTATGCTGTAGCATTCTACATTATTGCCACCCCCAGAGTAATAGTGAGCTAATACCCCGATGTATCTTCTTGTACTATTTGCACATTTGGAGTAACTCGTCCCAGCAATAATCCCTCCCACATTGGCACATTTAGATTCAGTGGAGAAAGGTCTGGATGACACTGAGCTACTGCGTTCCATCCATTGTACAGAAACCCACCATTAATACGGTGTCTGTGTGCTGCTCTGTCAGGCGGCACATTCTGATTGCTCTTTCTGTACACCAGGTTCACGTCACAGCTAAACTTGCCAGCCTTTTCCCTTGCCATCCTCTGTAACCCATGCTCACACTTTAATGCATGCTCTTACCCGGCAATTGAAGGCCAGGAATACCAGTAAATTCTCTCTAAAACGCACTCTTTTTGGGAGCCACTCAAACATAATTGGATCGAGGAGCAAGATGCACGGAAAACATTACGTGGATTTTTAGTGTTAATGAAAGTAAAGTTAGCCTTTAGTCACGAGGGCACCGGGAAATACTTTGTGATGGTTACTCTTCTGAATATTGCTGCGTTGAAAGGTTTCCTCCATAAACGTTTTGCTACCACTGGAATTTTTCGATGGGTATTTATTTGCGGTGGTCTTGGGGGTTGGGGGGAGCTCAGGATTGTAGAATGACTCTTAACACTTAATGGCTTGGTGGTGGAGTGTATGAAATGTTTCTATTGTATTCCTCTTGTGCCCCCATTGCCTTTGGCATCTTTTGCAAAGCGTGAACAAGGTTTCGGTTTGTGTTATAAACCAAACAAAAGATGAAATGCAATAACCTGCAACCGTTTCTATAACAATAATAATCCTTTCGTTTGATAAAGCGCCTTAACACGTCTTCGAGACATCTCAAAGCGCTTCACAGCATATACTGTCAAGTGAATTGACTGTGTGTTTCTATTCCCAAATGCACCATGTTCCACAATCAATTAAACGGGCAAAGAGGGGTGGGTGGTGGGGGGATGGGGTTACTGTAACCGTGTTGCCAGTTCCGGAGGTGAATAAAGGCTCCACATTCCTGACCACTTACGATCTTCAGTGGAATGCAATGCCGGGTATGGCACACCACAGACAGAGAGCTGTACACATTAATGAAATGTACTCGCCGGACAGTTTTGAGTTGGAGTGAAATTCTAGGCTTTGTTAGCAGATCTGAAACAAGGCAAGGGAAAGCTGTGGGAAGAACGGATTTATTTGCATTCTTATCCATGAATTGCAGCATTTCTACTTGTAGCTCTGCATGGCTATTTATTAAACACTTCACTGCTTAGTAAATGGAAGTCAGAAGCTAGAATGTGCAGAATGCCTCCTTGTCAGGCCAAGTGTTGTAAATTGTGCTTGAACCAGACATTCTGCTGGGGCGAATGTATACAGGACTGATAAATGCTGGTTATATTTGCTTCCAGTGCTGATGTGAATCCAGAGCACCACATCAAGATCATTGAGGCACTTATCATGACTGGAGGCTTGGCTGAAATGCAAACTGCACCAGGTAGGAATCCAATGTTAACTCTTTGCATCGATGGATTTCTCTGGCAGATTCAATTTTATATTTTATATGCATATATTGCAATCTGGTGCTTTCAGGCTAGCTGTAGGTGGTCTTTGGTGTAGATTGTCTCTGTCGGGATTTTCCAACTGGTTCCAATTTGGATGGAAAAGGTTGGTTTGAATGTACCAATCATCTCTGGATGTCAACCCGAGTGTGTATGGAGTGAGGTGGCACGAAGTGTGGGCTGCGTTGTGGTTAGAGGACTGATGCCCTCAAATAAACCGCGTTGGGCAATTTGTGTCCTTGATTAAATGTAATGTCCTACCCAAGTGGCACCCCATGGTTTGCTTTGACAGAATTTATGTAATTGAATCATGATCTTCGGCAAACTTTTTTTCGAGGGGGTTGTTGGTGGAAGTGGAAGGCAGGGAGTTTGGGGTGGGGGGGGTGGCTTGTCTATGAACCTTTCACATGAAGACTGGTACTCTTTAAGAGGTTAACCCATGATTCTTTGATATGATTGATCTGGAGACCGTCAAAGTAGGCTTATATCACCGGTAGTTTCTTACGTTAAGCTTTGATACTTGGCCCAACCTTTCACTGGTGCGTTTTCACTATGAATTGCTCTGTAAGTGTAACTCACTGCTTCCGATCAAGGTGCCTGGTAGGATTTTTCTGTTGTAATTATCAGTGATACAGGAGTGAGTGTGTTTCCCAGGTGAGCGAGACTGTCCTCAAAATACAGGGGTGATCAACGCACCAGCGAGTTACACAAGCCTATCTTAATAATAATAATAATAATCCTTGCATTTGATATAGCACTTTTCACGTCGGGAGGACGTCCCAAAGCACTTCACAGAACACACTGTAAAGTGAATTGACTGTATATTTGTGGGCAAATGCGGCAGCCAATTGCGCACAGCAATGTCCCACAAACAGTTGTAGATTGAAAATTACCAATTTATTATTGTTTTTGGTTTTGGAGGGATTATTAGGTGTGTGGAGTAAGGAAACTTGCCCGAGGTTTCGCCCTCTGCCTGGAATTGAACTCAGGTCTCTCACTTGCAAAGCGAGTGCTCTAACCACTGAGCTACAGGAGTTCAGAACTCTTGTGTGTGAATGAATGGCAGTCCCAGTTTGACTGGTACCCGATTAAAAAAAAAAAATGGTTTGGTCCTTTGGGGATTAAAACCATTTAGTTGATCAACGGTGCAAGATTGTTCGCAAATTTAAGAGGATGAACTTAGTCGGGGCCAATTCGGGATGGCACAATAATCAGAGGTCAACAAGGTTCGTTCTCGCTCCGCTGATGGCTGAGCTGGTGAAGCCAAGACTCGGTGCCAAACTGAGTCATGGCGGCCAGGAATGGTCTGTGATGATTCCCGGTCTGTGGTGAGTTCACAGCTACTCAGCCAAGGCAGTGTGATGAGGCATTGGAATGAGGCCTGAGTGTAATTTGCAACCAGTGTTTTGGGTTTCACGGTTGCATTCCCTGTCAAGAGAGCACAGTTGCTGGACAGCGAGGTTGAGGGTGAATCCCACTCCTCTTTCCAGTGACCCCAGTGTTCATCCCCTCCCCTCCACTGCTCCATTGCCATTCGTTATCCCATAGATTTCTAGTTGGGTGGGCAATCCTTGATTCTGTCAGATGACTGGCACTCGGAGAGGAGACGGCTACTGCATGAAATAACCCGGCACCAGGGCAGCCCGAGACCAGGAGACGACGGCTTGCAGGTACATACTCTCAGAGAGGAGACATTGCTCAACAAGAAACAAAAACAACAACTTGCATTTGTATAGCGCCTTTCACGGCGGGGAGCGTCTCGGAGCGCTTCGCGGTGGCGGAGTCTGCTCGCGAGCAAGGCTGGCCCGGAAAACCCGGCAACAAATGCATCAAGTTGAAATCTGCACCTTTGCCCTGACTTACCAGCCAGCGATGCCGAAAAATGCACAAAAACAAGCACAGGTTGTGAGCAAACTGAACGAAGCCTTGGGTCGTTTTTCTTTATGAGTTTTGCAGTGGTTGCCAGCAAATCAAAACCGCCCCACTTTCAGGGTTGCCTATAATCTTTCCTCAGAACGAGCGCATTTTCTGAATTCCAGTGGTGGCTACTTCTAATGCTCTATTTGGATTTTGTTCTGTTCTGCGGAATGACTAAGCAACTATTTGGCCTAAAATACAGTGACGGGATTGTTAGCATGTAGTTAAAGCATTCTGGACTTCATTGCAAGACAACCACGCTACTTTTTTTACACACACACACACACGCGCGCGCACGCACACACAGCATTTCACTGTGTGCCGTCGAGATTAGAGGAGTTTTTTTTAAATTGAAAACAAAGAGGCGACTGTTTTATTTTTGCAACAGTTTGAGTTTCTTACATAACAGAATGTAAACCATGTTACGTTGTCGTATCCTTTTGTGGCCGGGGAGGCGTTAGTTACTAACGTAACTTAGATGAGATCCTCAAAATGCTCACAGTCGCTGCACTTGATTGTGTATTTTGTGTAGTGCTTTCGTGACGTCCTCGACTATGAATGCAGCTGATCGGCTGAAAATATAATACATTGTCTGAATATGTTTAGTTGCAAGACGGTATATAGTTTGGGACCTGACATGTCAAACGACTGCCAGGTTGGTGGAAGTAGATGGACCTTAGTCTTCTTTTGCCCGGCAAGTTCTTATGTTCTTGTGCAAGAGAAATTCAGCACCCGGAGTTCCGAGCGAAAACTCCCAAGCGCTCTGGGACTCTACCCTGCGTGAGGGGCGTTATATAAATACAACTTGTTGTTGTTCTGACGACGGTGGGTGGAAGAGGTCGAAATCATCACAAATGCCTTTAGGAACTCCACCGACTTATCAACATTTTTAAAAAATCCTTACATTTGGTAAAGCGCCTTTCTTGACAGGAGGACATCCCGAATCGCTTCACGGAATATACTGTAGAGTTGAGTGACTGTTTTTGTGGGTGGATGTGGCAGCCAATTTGAGCACAGCAATGTCCCACAAGCAGCAATGAAGCGAGTGACCAATTTTGTTTGGGGGATTGTTAGGTCAGGACACCAGGAGAGAGAAGTTCATTTCTCTTTTCAAATAGCACCATGAGATCTTTAATGTCCGCCTGACACAAGCGAACGAGGCATCGGTTGAACGTCTCATCTGAAGCAGGCACTGCCTAATTAAAACTGTCTAATTTTGTGCATTGATGCCCTGCACAAACTTAGACAGTGTTATTTCACTGTTGTTATTTACAAGACTGATTTCAGAGGTAGATTTCAGTGACAGTTGTTGGACGTCCAGCGTGCTCTCTCCTTCGACTCAATTCCCCCTCCTCCGCTCCGAATTAGCCGCGGTAATTGTAGATGAAAACGCCTGTGATACTGCAGTTTGACGCTCCACGGTCGTTGCATAAAGAATTGGCGATGGAGCTCATAGCTCCTGCCAGGCAGGGTCACTGATGCATTTGCTACAGGGTGAGGGCAAGCCCAGGCAGTCAGGCAGCCCCTATCCTATGTCAGCTGCAATTTGGGATGACACTGCAGATGCTGGATGTGATTTATGAGGCTGTGCTCCGAGGTGACTGGAGGAAATTGAATCTTTACCCACTTTGTGCGTGGCTCAGGTGAAGAGAAATTGGAAAAATGTATCTTAAGGGCACTGTATTGAACTGGCTCGGTTTGGGCCGAGCTTATCAAAGGGCCTTTATCCGATCCAAGATCATTCTCAAATGTCTTGGGACATTCAGTTTGTCATTGGTGTATTGGATGACAAATACAAGTGTGAAGGGCCAGACATTAAGCCTCCCCGGAGAGCGAAGAGGAGCACAAAGCCAACACTGAGCTTGAACAATTAGGGCACCTCCTTGGATTTCCTGCTTATCGGAGGGTCAGCTTACTGCTGAGGGAGGTTAACATTCATCTCAATCTTAATTCTTCTGATTTCAGCAGGAAAAGCATTTTTTTTTTTAGCTGAACGCGCGTCTCACTCAGCTTCGTTCAACTCTCAGTGGGTTTACGTTGTCGCGTTTAAACCTGAGGAGGTGACTATATTTTAGTAGCATCAAAATACCTATTGATCTACGGAGAGTTAATGCTCATAAAGCTTGGTATTCCACTGTACTCCTTTTCACTCCTCTCCCCACTCCTCTCCTCTTTCCTTTTAAATACGATTGACAAAGTAAAGCCTGAACATCACATTAGGGATGATCCAAGGCTGTCATAGGACATAGCTTCAGAGCTGCAAAGACCAATTTCAGAGCCAGGGAGGAAGTTTTACTTTATCCAGAAGGCAAATGATGACTGGAACAGGTTATCAGGAAGGGTACCTGAAGCCAGGGCACTTGGAACATGAGGTTTGAACCACAATCGTCCGATTCAGAAGCAAGAGCCAGGCTGACACCTGGATAATACATACATACATACATAAATAAATACATGCAGGCAGGCAGGCATACATACTCCTTGCATTTGATATAGCGCCTTATCACGTCTTCAAGGCGTATCAAAGTGCTTCACAGAATACACTGTGATGTGTAATAACTGTATGTTGTAGGCGAAACGCGGCAGCCAATTGTGCACAGGATCTTTTTACTTTACTTTTTACTCCCCTCGTGAGATGTTGGGGAGTGAAGCCGAGGACAACTTTGCCTCGAATCACCAGCTCTGCCTCAATTAGCCTGTGATGCGCAATCGCAGGCTGAAATAGTCAGCCTCACCTTCTCTACAGCCCAACTGTGGTGTATCAACAGTCACTAGCCCCTGTTTATCTGATCTGCTTTCACACAGTAACTCCCTGGATTGCACCTCATTTTTCTTGCTGTCTAAAAGACAGTTCGGATCTAGGACACCTTACCGGTGCCATTGCACCCCCCCACCCCACTCCCCCCGCCCCCTCCCCCTCTGCACTCTCTCCCCCAGTCTGCCCTTTTTAACTGTACTGCTGGGATGCAGGTTATGAGTTTGCACTTTGCACATGTTGGAAACTGTCTGTTGACAGCTC